CACGGGTGGTGCCAGCCCACCCAGCTCACAAAGCCAAGGGCTGCAGCGCTGTTGAGAAGGTGCGAGGTGCCCCAGAACAGCTGTACTCTCCTCAGGCCACCTCAGCTCCCAGAAAGCCATCTCCATCTGACCACAGGGGCACACAGGCCCGTGACAGAAACTGTTACTTCCACACAAACCAACCAACCTACTTGAGCGGCAGCTGCTCCACACAGCCCGGCACTGACTGTGCCAACCACAGCCAAAACAAGGATCCTCCCACCTAAACTTGCCCACCAGCCCGAGAAGCTGCCCAACGTGCGTCACACGCCCAGCTGCAGCTGAGACAAACCTGCTCCCCATCTCCACGCGACCCTTGTGCCGTGGCCAAAGGCCCAGCTCCTAGACAGGGTGGGGAACTTGGACGCTGGGGGAAGAACGGCTGGAGTGGCTGCACCCCCCCCATTGCTGGCAAGGTCTGGCCATGAACACAGCACAGATCACAACTGAAACGGCCCAAATTCTGCGCTTAGCTCCAAAGTCCCTAAAAACTCCTGCCACAGCTGAAGCCGGGGGACTTCCACCAGCTCCACCAGTGGAGAAGTGCTGCTGGTGTACGAGGCGGGTCCAGAGGACACGTGGCAGAACAGGGGCAGCTACGGAGCAGGGCCATGGAGCTGGGTGCGCAGCATCACCCACCTGTGCTGTTCTGCTCATGACTTCCCTGCGATGCTCTTAGCTAGTGACTGGCTGAACTCTGTGCAAGGAAACACCAGGCAACGAGGGGTCTCAGCCCACTGCCCCCCCGACCCTGTGAGCGTGAGCACTGCTCTGAGACGTATCCAGGTAGGTGAGTGCTCACAATGCCCCAGGGAGCACACCTCCTCCTCATACTGAAATATGACAAGTGGGCTACAAAACAAGAGTAACAAAATAATCCCTTCTTATTTTGCAGAAAAGTGCTTAAGAAATTCTGTACAAGGATCGCTCTGGCAGCTGGCTGGGGGGGGGCAGGACACAAACAGTTTGGAAGCAGCAGCACCACGCTACATAGCTTGCAAGGAAGAGGCCAAGGAGAAACTTCTCCAACTAAAAGTAGTGGCAGATGGTGAAATCTGATCACAGTGGACATGAGCTTCAAAACATTTCTACCAATTAACAATGTGATTTCAACTGCTATCTGATGTCAGCTTCCCCTTCAGCTGCCTGCCGGACAAGCTGCTCTCCCCACGGACCTCGGTGACAGACATCTCAAGCATGCAGGAAGCTTAAGGACCTTGTCTGATGGAGGCGAAGCATAAACTCTTGCTTCTTGGCAGCTGAATAAAAGGAGAATGATTTCCACAAAATCAGTGGGAAGAACAGCCCTTTGACTGCTGGCTGAATCATTTCTAAAAGTGACAGTGGCACAAATCCATGCGGTAAAAGCATTCCTAAGAGAGTCTCCAAAACTCTCAGCTGTCACAGTGCCCAGGAACAGCACAGGCCAGGTTAGGCACTTGAATGAATTCAAGGTGACTAATAGAGAAACAGGTCTGAACAACCTGCATACAGCACGCTCAGCAGAGACCACAGCACTCCAGGCAACACATTTCTATGTGTTTCTATGCCAGTTACTGCTGCGCAGATCCATCGAAGTCACAGAATAACATGGGGTGGATGGGACCTCTGGTGGAAGACTTCTGATTAGATCAGGTCTTAGGCAGGTCTGGTTTGATCAAACCCTTCATCTTCCCTAAAGCGTCCACAGCACAGTCCCTTCTGCAGCCTCCTGCATGTTAGTGTTGAAGGCCCAGGACACCAGGAGCACCCACACCCAGCCATGAGATGAAGGATGGTGAAGGCAACCACCAAAAGGCTGCCAGGCACCCTGTCTGCCAGCACTGGATGACAGGCAACAGTTGCTGGCATTGGCACCAGGGGCTGTAAAGCCCCTCTGTAAATAAATAACAAGCTGCAATCCTTCCAGCCAAGTTCCCAAATCACCTGCGAGGGGAAAGAGGAGACATCAGGAGGGCACAGAATCGAGCCCCAGAGCTGCCCAGTAGCACAGGGACCCTGCGTCTGATAGAGGTGTGCAGAAGAGCTGACAGAGACTAGACTGATGACGGGCAAGTCCCTGAGCACAGAGCTTGCTTCCCTGGCAGGAGCATCAGTGACACAGAAGCATTTCTAATGCTCGTCTCTCCCTGTGGAGCAGAAGACCTCTTTCTGGTGGCCTGGGAAGGATACCAGGCGAGCCATTGCCACCAAGAATTCGCGGAACTCAGCCTGCTGCCGAGAAATGCATGGCAGCGCTAAGGCAGTGTGTTTTGCTGGATGTGTTAAGCAACAGTACAAGCCAAGTCCTTGACTGGCAAAGACCCAAGCTGTGAAAGACAAGAGGTGACAGAGAAGAGTGGGGAGGCAGGCAGCAATGCAGCTGGTGGCAGAAACACAACGAAGAGGAGGGATGTGGCATGGTAAGCTGGCCTCAGGTGCTCAGCTTCCTGCTCAGGTTGGAGGAAAAGCAACCTCAACCTGAATTCAGCCTCGTTGATGCACCGTTGTTTTTCCCACTGGAGGCCAGGCGCTCAGCTGGGATGTCTGCTCTGGACAAAGAGGCTCCAGAGGCAGCTCTCAGTGCCCTTATAAGGGGCTGGGAACAGGGGAAGCCACCAAGCAGCCTGTCAGACAGCGATACCGCAGGCAGGAGTTCAGAGCCCTCCTTAGGAAACAGCCAAAAAGAGAAACTCCAGTGCAAGACGTCAAGACCTGGCATTTGAGAGCGTGGGAATGAGAAAGGTCTGAAGGAGTGGGAACAAAAGGGACAAAGCAATTTTTGGCCAGTTAACAGTGATGGAGGGTCCCTGTTCATCCAGCATCATGTCAAGAGAGGGAACTCTCTGCCAGGGCATTTTAAAACACAGAAGCAGAAGAAAATAATTCCTCCTCCTCTGCAGCCAACCAGCGGCATTCACAGGTCAGTCGCAAACACTGCAAGTTACGATCTCTGACAGCAACTCAGATACGCACAGTAAAACCACACAGAACCTGAATGTGTGATTCAGGGCCTGCAGTCATCCCCCGAGGGAGAACCTCCAGCTTGCTCTACCTGGGCAAGGTGGGGGAGAACCCCAGCTGTGCCTCAGGACACCTAGCTTCCCTGCCCTCTCACTCCCTCATGAACCTCCTCTCCTCTCTGTGCAACAGCTTTCCTCTCTCAGCTGGGCATCAGATGCTGACCCCTTTTACAAAGCACTGAAATCCAGCCAGGTGCTAGGGAGGGGCTGAAACATAAGGAGCTGCGGCTTCCCAGGGGAGTTCATCCCTTCAGCCAATGTCCACAGAGATTACTAGGTCAGACAACCGGTATTTTGAGCTGGTGAGAGAATGAGTGGATTACCGGCCCACTGCTGCAGAGATCTGAGCGTACAGCAGCACAGAGGCGGGCCTGTGCCTAGCCTGACACCGCTTCCTCTCCCCGAGCTGCCAGGTTCTGCTTTTGCAGTATCCCAACACAGACGGTCTCATTGGAGACTGGCCCTCCTAGGTGACAGCGACAACACCTACCGCTCCAGCATGGTTTCTCCTGGAGCTTGCAGATCCCTCCATGCGGAGAGCAGACCCGACCTCCGCCAGCGCACGGTCTGTGTTCGCATCCGACCGCATGCCCCCAGCACAGGAAGGCTAACGCAGCCGCCTGCAGCAGTTCCGCAGTGCCTCCTGGGGACGGGCAGAGCCTGTGCTCCGGGAGCTTTCACACCTGCCACACACCTCCTCACAACATCCCAGACAGCACAGCAAAGCTGTCACCCATCACAACATGGTGCCGATCTCCCCGCCTACTGCTTCACCCCCACAAACCGACAGAAACTCACTGCATTTAAGTACTGGCATACGTCCTCTCAACTTTTTCGCTCTCTGCTTTAATTCAAGAGCTCAAATATCCTACTGAGCTCTGGGACTGGCAGGATGTATCAAATACATTCAAACACAGCCTGTGTTTTCTCTACCAGTACCCAGAACCTGCTCCGGAAACATTCAGCAACAGCAAAGCAGTTACGTGGTGGGCAGGACACTTTACGCAATTCCTGTTACTCCAGCCCTTCGGCTCTAAGAGTCACAGTTCATGTCCTACGTCTGCAGCTGGGGTACAGGAGAGCAGAGCAACACTGGCTGCTGAGGAGGAATCACTCTTTGCAGGCAAACCCTACCATGAGTTCAGAGCTGCTGCTACCAACGAACGGAGGAGGCACCTAGAGACGTCAGGCAGATTTGCAGACAACAGCCTGGTAACACTCCCCCACTCTTATGCAGAGGTAATATCAAAAGTATGATTAAAACTATAGTCAACTATCAGCTGGTAATTCTCCAAATTGCTCGGCATTTCTGGAGACAAACAAGTGGCTATAACTCTGCCTGCCTCTGAGCTGCTCAGGAGAGCCCAGAACAGACTGTCACAACACTGAATCACAAAGAAATCCTGGCACCTTTCAACAAAAGACTGGCTGAAGGGGCGGGGAACAAAAGCTATCGAACCCAATCCCAGAGGGATGGAGAAGTGCATCTTCCCACAGCTCCTGGGCCATATGCACATATATGGATATATAGATATATAGATAATAAAGTTATAAAATTTGATCAAAATAAAACCAGTAAATGTACAGCTTGAAAAAGAGCAGTATCACAGTGCATCAATGTCATGAGAAAGTCCCGTGTTCTCCCCCTGCACGAGAGCGCAGCCTGCCACGTTCAGAAGAGCGCCCGCGGGAAGCGAGCCCTCTGACCTGCTCGACTTGACACGGGCAAGAGTCACTATCCCACGTTCACGAACAGGTTTTTTGTATTTCTGCAGTCAGTTCTGCATAGCAGTGGTAGACAGGCAGAAACAGCATGAGAGCAGGCTGCTCCGTCTGCAGGTTAGTCGACATATCGTCACCAGGCACCAGATATCCAGAGTTGCTCTTAAACTTCTCCATGCTCTGGTGCCAGGCTCATATTTACTTACTTACAAAAAAAAAGTGACAAAGTGAAGAAACTCAGGGGACGCTGTGAGAGTGGGACAAGGGCTGAATTCGGATCACAGGGGACAGGTTGACCCTAAGAATCTTCTGTGCTCTCCTCCTCACTTCATCATCAGAGGAAGAGTTGCCCACCTTGATAGCCTGGAATTTCAGCAGGTTCAAAGCGCTCTGAGCCCGTTGTGATTTATTTCGGACAGGAATGGTATTTGCTTTCTTCCTCTGCGGTGCTTCTCTTGCATCCGTAGCTCTTCTCTTCTTCTGCCCAATGCTCTCCCGGTAAGTGCTGCTGTCTTTCCACTCTGTTTTCCCCACCAGAGCTTCCTTGTCTTTGATTTTCAAGGTCTTGGACTGCGGTGCTGTGGTGCAGCCCTGGGACGAGCTGCCTGTGATTCTCCCGTTGAGGACGCCCGAGGCCTTGCAAGCATTGCTCTCCTGCAGCACTCCACCTTTTGGTCCCTTCAGAAGATTTAAAGTGAGGGTGGCAGAATCCGGTGCTTTCTTTATCAAACGCTTGTACCCCTTACCTTCTGTTATTTTAGTGGTCTTGCCTGAAGAAATCTGCCTCGGTGGACTCGAAGCCTTGAGGAGTTTAAGGTCCGAGGGCGAGACCCCAAGATGCCCTCGTGTGTATCTGGACTCCAAACAAGACGCAGTAGTTTTCAGCGGCACCAGAGCTTCCAGAACCACCGACAGTCTCATGGCTGGATACACATCAGGATACATGCTTGTAGGGAAGCCCGCTGCTGCAGCCTTGGATGTGCCAGATCTTGTCTGCTTCAAGGAGCTCAAGAGGAGATTTGTGGAATCCCCTTTACAGACAGGCTTAGTGGAGACTTTTGAAGCATTCACTGAAACACTGGTCGGTGAAGCAGGCACCTTTGCCACAGCTGTGGTATTTCTACCCGGACTCTTATCAGACTCGGCGGCGTTGTCGCAGTTGTGCGGGGTGCTCTCTTTTCTTTGACTAGGTGTGTCTGCTGTGCACGAGCTGTACCCATACACATCCTTACTCCTCAGAATTGTGGGCTGGTAGCCCTCCTCCTTCAGGCCCTGAATGAAGGCCACCAGCTGGGTCTCTGTGTTTGAAAGGTCCTTGGACATCGGGTTGAAGACTCGCAGGGCTTCCTCCAGCACTTTCTGACCTGCAGAGGAAATTCTTGACCAGGAATGGACAGCTTTTTCTTCCACATTGTTCACTGCAATATTCATGGCATTAGGCAAGCAGGCGCTTCAAAAAGGTCCAAATTACTGGAAAAACAACCTTTGACACCTCAAAAGGAGAGAGAAGATAGTTAGCTTACAGCAGCTGAAATCATCTCACGTTTTTAAGCGGAGACCTAAAACCATTAAGTCCAGGCGTGGCTACTCACAAACATCGGTTCGGATTCTGGACATAACCCAAGTTAGAAGCACTGTCAAGACAATCCCATCACTGACTTATCTCTGAAGTAAAACTAAAACATCTCTCACAGAAATATCCTCAAACCTACACAAAGATTTCAGACAATCCCAGCCAACCCATCCCAAGATGAAGGGTTCCAATTTCTCAGTGAAATCTGCAGCTCGTTTCCAGTTTGAATTTGACATGCCCCAGCTTCAGGTCACCAGATCTTATTTTCCCTTGGTAATGCAGCTCTTCATTGAACCTGATCCCTGTACAAGCACCAAGAATGCCACAATCAAGCCATCTCAATACTAAGCAGCCTGAGCACCTCAAATCTATCCCAGCATCACGATCAATTTTCCAGCTTCCTAATTGATTCTGCTCAAAAATTGATTCTGAGTCCCTGCCAAAGTGGCAGCATCCTCCTGAAGACCTGACAGCACAGTTGGAGGCTATTTCAGTTGTGCTTCATTGATGCCGAACGCTGTGGCAAGGCAACACCGCTCCTTGCTGTTCCCTTCTTTGAACAACGGTCTGCAACTTGCTGTCACAGCAAACTGGTGCTGATCCAAGAGCACTCACTGCCAGGCGAGGAGGAAGCAGGAAATTCAAGCAGCACAGCATGAAGGAAACACACATCACCAGGGCCAAGCGTACAATGGCCTGAGGGACAACATTCAGATCATGCTCAGGGCACTACACAGATGTCTGCCTGGGACAAAAGCACTAATTATTGCTTTAAATAAAAAAACAGGCACTGAAGAGCAGTCCAGGCAGGACTTCATGAAGCACCCAGGAGAACTCTGATCCTCTCAGGCTGAGCTTGCAGCCTTGTCAGCTCCACAGCTGGATGCTGTGCTGAGAAGTAATAAAATCTTGAACACCATTGACACCTCTCAAAGTAATAAGGAGGATTCAGTGAAAAATCCTTTTCAGGGAAATGTAGGTGTCGGAGACGTTATTGGAGAGGGCAGTGTGCAGGCAAGAAAGCTGTGATGGAATAGTTAGCACCTGAGCAGACACAGCAAGGAACTACTCATGTCTGATGTTCCTCCCAGAACTCCAGTTTCACTGCAGCCCCAGAGACTGGGAGTGCCGGCCCTGGACCGGTGCGCCATGCTGCCGGCGGCTGCACAAGCAGGGAAGACACACAAGCCAAAAGCTGTCGCAGAAGGGGAAGCACAGGTCAGCGGGCGGGTAAGAGCCTCCGCATGACAAACTAATCTCAGTCAAGTGCTCTGCAGACGTCATGGCAGAAGAGGGATTTGGAGGAGGATAATGCAGTTGCTCTGCAACACGCAGGGGATCTCCCACGGAGGAGGGGAAGCAGGCAGGGAAGTGCTCCGACAGAGCCGCGGCTGGCATCATTGGCCAGCAGTGAGATTTGCCACCTCCAAAACAAGCAAGTGGTAGCAGGCGCAGCAAAGCCAGCAAGGATGTAAAGCTTAATCCTGAGCTGGTAGAGAGGAAGAAGTCAACAGAGCAGCACAACTAACAACATGCTTTCAACAGGCTGCAAAATGGATCATCTTCAGGCTGCAGCAAGCCTGGGAGCAGCCAGGACACCTCAAGGGGTATTCTGATGTAGAACGGAGAGGCTGTGACATCTCAGCGAGGACAGAACATCTCAACATGGATCCGCCCAGTCTTGTTTTGTGCAGGGCAAGTTGTCGTAGGAGCAAAAGCTAGCTACAAGCAGGCACACCCCAAGACAGTCTGTCCATCCAACAGCAAGTTCCCTCACTTGAGACACTACTGCGGGACATGCCCTAACTGAAGTGCCACGGGCCTGCAGCGCTGTTCGCAGGGACACAAAGCGCTGGCAGGATCCTCACGTCACACTCAAGCGATGCCCAGCCCGGCTGTCCCGGAGCACAGCTGGAGGAAAGGGCTCTGCAGCGCTTCTCCGGGTGCCCCGGAAGGGCAGCCGGCCATGGACAAGGCCAAGATGCGGGGCTGGG